AAGCAAGTTTTTAAAATATTTTATTCATGTTATCATTTAAGAATTATTTTACTGAACTAATAAAAAAAAATTCTTATTTTCCCATGTGCACTTTCTAACACAACCACAAATATATCGGCCGCTTCTGCGGCCGATAATGAAATCATTAAGAGCAATTCAAAGATTTAATGAATTCCAAACAATTTTCTTTTACTTTCTTTATTTTGCCCATTTTCAAAACTACAATTTCACAGAGTAAAGAAAAAAAAACAATAATTATATACTTGAACAATATAAGGACAGTACATGTTCCATCATATACTTAGTAATGCAAGATGGTCACACCTTGAAAAACACTGGGTTTTCGAGGTGGGGGGGGGATATCCTTCCATATTTTTTTGCAAAGTAAGTTGACATAGTATAGGCATTGAAAATTTGGCTCTGATTTATCCATACTGGCAAGAGTCTGGTTTTACCATGGATTTCTTTTTAGGATAGAAATTCAATGCAAATTTTATAGGATTTTTCCTGTAGATCTACAAAAATGAAATACAGTTTTAGAAGATCACTCAGAACATTCCACAATTTTAAGAGAATTATTATAACAGACACAAATTTAAAAAAAAAACAATATCTATATCTATAAATCTTTTCCCTGTTGCCAAAGATGGTAAGCCTTACCCTCTCTGCAAACATTGTTCTCTCTTGCAAATATCAAAGAAACAACTCAAACTTCTGATGTTGGGGAGAGCTTGTAAATTTGCCATCATTTTTTGAACTTGGTCTTTCCTTTGTATATATTTGATCTCACTTTTCTTAAATGTGAGTTTAGCCCAGTTTCAAAGAAACTATTAGTATATTCTATATATTTTAAGAAAGCTTATGCACTGATACATTATTTGGTGAGAATTTCTCAAATTTGTCCAAATCTCTTTAACCTTGATCTTAAATTCCCAATGACCTTTGACTTTACATGTAATATTTTTTGTGTATAAAATTAAAAAAAAACCTAATATTCAATATATTTTCATAAAACTCCATAACATTATACAAATTTCCATGTTGCATTACTATTGAAGCTTTGGCGAAACATTCCTATGGACATCTAAATTTTTTTCAGCAGGAACAAAACTCTTCCCTATCTTCATTTAAATAAATTAGCTAGAATATACATAATACAAAACACAGCCATTAAAATATATAAAAACAATTTGTGGAAATGGTTACTCCAAGTAGTTAGAAACCTTGTGTAAAATTTTATCATACTGTGGGATAATTTTTTATTAAAGAAATTAATTACATGTGTCTATTTAATATAATATACTGTCAAAATTGATGCAAAACATATTTTAAAATCAATTTCACACAGTCAGGTGAAAGTATATTTGACTACAGATTGAATATTCAACACGTCCAATAAACGTTTTAATTAGACTTAAAAAACATTACATGAAGAAGTATGTCAGTTTGGGACATTAATATAATATTACTTTTCCATGATCATGTTGACGTGTTTTATGTCCAAAACAGTACTCCATACAATGTGTGGACCTAATACCCAACAGTACAGCAAAGAATGTCTATTTTTTTCTGAGGCGCCTGAAGGAAATCCCCAAACTGACTACTTTTTCTATCTAACTGCTGAACAATATTGACATGTCGTGTACCTACTTTCCAAATGTAATACATGTAATTACAATTTGATATCGAATGCACCGCATTTTGCTTAACATTTTTAAATAAAAAAAAAAAGAAAATCATCATCCTTGCAGAGCCCCAAATAGTCTCTATACAAACACAACTTAAAAGGAGAGGCAATTCGGAAAGTGAAGTTTTAAGTAACGGATATCTAATAACTGAACTGAAATCACATAGATTTATGGCGTTTTTAGAAACTCTGCTAAGTTGCAGAAAATGATTACATGACCATTACAAAGATTCACGTTTTTACATACCAGAGGTACGTTTTACCTTCTGTCAGCTGCTTTCACTGTAATGAACATAAGACTTCTCAAATGGAAAATTCAAAGGTAACAAATGCATCTATTCACAGAAGAAATATGCATATGCCATCCACGTGCTCAGTGGAATGATATGACCGAGGAAAGTCGAACAATAAACAGAACGTTTTATCCCGGTTTGCCAGAGTGGGGTTAAAAATCGCGTTTTATCATCAATCAGACGATGCCATTCAACAAATAAACGTAGTAAGTTGTATAACCTAAGAATCATTACTGAGAATTGTCTTGTCTTGATGTTGTTAATGTCGCATTTATTCTAAAAACAATGTTATTTTCACTCTGTGTGACAGAGGAATGGCTGACATCATGAACACATGGCTTCAGGAAGACCACCATAAGAAAAATCAAATTTTCAAGAATTATGGATAATGACAAGAAAAAAGCGAAACAAATTGTTGTAGCCATATTATTAATGAACCGAATTGACATTCTTTTCACTGCATTTTTCATCTCCTGAATGCTTTTGCTGGGCAGTTCTAACATGATTAATTTTCCCCAAAATCAAACAATAGAAATATAATTGTTTATTAATTTTGGTGTCTACCAGTATGTAATAAGTGCATTAGCACTTTGAGTAACTTTGAGCTAGTTTGGTAGAGTATTAAGCGCATTCTTGGCATTTCTTATTTTAGACCAGAATAGATCCAATATGGCTTGTACATCCCCTTTACGGACAGACGAGACGTTCCTTAATAATAGATAAATTTTTCTTAGAGTTTGTCATTGAAGTATTGCTACATAACATGTTTACTCACAAAAAATTGAGGTACCTTACCAGGCATTTCTGCAAGATACCAGGGGTATTTTTTTCTTATATAATCCTTTGGGGAAGAAAAATAATTTTCCAATTTCAAATGTTTAAGTGTTTGGATATTTTAAAAACGTTTAGAAACTGGTTTAGAAATCAGAATGTTATTAAAATTTTGAATATTTTTCATACATTTCGAAGATATACAAAACAGACATTGAGGAACGTCTCATCTGACCTTAAGTTGTAGAGTTGAAATCGATCTTTAAAATTTAGATATAACAAAGGTAAATTTTTATGCGAAATAAAAACAACTAACTTGGGCATGTTTTTGTACAATTACTGCATGAAGTTAAAAATACTGGTCAAAAACATTCAATCGTATTGGAGTATTGAATTCAAGTTTTCAATTGTTAGTATGGAACTTCAATCTAAATTTCTCTCCAACAGATTTATTTTACTCAGACGATTGAGAAGACCTGTTTATTTAATCATTTTTCCGCATGCAGTGGGATGTTGCGTGTTTATTTTTATGAAGGCAACCTGTTACTTACAATACAGTTATTGAACTACACATTTAACCGATATATTCAGAGAACAGTAAATTTCATAAAACGTGATTCTCTGTTTATTTTGTTCTGTAGTAAAATGTTACAATCTTTTAGTTTTGAGATCAAATAACCAAATTATTGCTTGGATTTTTTTCTTAATATATCAAAGTAAGATTCTTATTTTTGTTCAGCTGCTATGTCTTAGGAGGAAGGGGAACGGGTATCTTAAAATACACTTAATTGATCTTTAAATCAATGTGATAAACATGGAGAACCTATGTTACAAACTACATTTTCAAATATCCCCTGTGTGAAAATGATTCATAACTGTAGATATTAATTGTTCATACATGGATGAGAAATAATAGCATATTGAACTTTAAATTGAATAAAATCATTTTCGTTTTGAACGTCGAAGTTACGATAGGTAATAGACAAGGCATTTGAAGACATGCTAGACAAGTCATGTGAAGTATTGATGAATTAACATTCCCCACTCATTATAGGATATGAATAAGACACGATCAACTTATTAGAGATGAATTTGACGCGTTGAAAAGGATTTCGATTTGTTAAAAGATTTTTTTTTCAAATTGAAGAGATAGTCAATCTCTGGTACATGCATAAAATACCAATGAAATAAGACAATATTATTCTTCAAATACCAAAGAGAAGAGATCTCTAAAACTTAACAATAACAGGAAATTATATTATATAAGTGTACATGAAAAAACAAAATAAGATATACCAGAAGTTTATTTTTTATACAACAATAACAAAAATATCATGAGATGGGGGGGGGGGGGGCACATCTTTAGGCTCTCACTTTCTTGAAGCTATTTTGTTGATGCATCGCTGGATTGGATGATACATGTATTTAGTGTCATTTACATTTAGTGATAAGACACAACATAGGCGTCGGAAGCAAATTGAGAGTGGGGTGGCTAATTGAAAGGGGGGGGGACTAAACCAACAAAAAAAGTAAACCCCTATTTTAGATGCTTATATTATGTCTATCTTTGAAAAAAAAAGTGGAGGGCTAAGCCGCCTTCTAGCCCAACCCCCCTCCCGATTCCGACGTCCATGCGCAATGCTGGCAACAGACGAAACTTTTGTATATCAACTTAGCTGTTTATAAGCTTTATTTGGTTATGTAGAAAATTCGTTATAACTTTAGATTTCACAAATACCTCTTCTCTTTAAATAGTTAATATCTATACATATTAGAAACGTAATAAAATTCAAAAATAGAATACATATTCAATGTTTCATTAATATTTTGGATTTGAGATAAAAGGTTTGTCTAGTTTAATTTAAAAGGGGGAAATATGGAACAAAACTCTTTTTAAGTTTCCACCAGCCACAATATAGGAAGTCGTTAAGATCACTTTTATATAAAATATTTAATTTGAATATTTGAGAAAAAAATAACAGTTCTCAAATTACCTTTTAAGTACTTTGAAACTAATATATATAGCCAGAAACTAAAATTTGGCGGTAAACAGAAAACTTTCAACTTATATGATGTCATCTAGGTAAGTGCGTATAATTTAACATATCTGAAATACATTCGTTATACATGTATACGTAGTAGGATTAAAAACGAATGAGGCTATTTTCTATCTCTTAAGTCTTCAGCCATTCAAAAAGTATTCCAATATAAATTTTGCGTTTTCTTTAATGACTTTAACTAGAAAAAATATGCTGAGAACGACCCTCTTAGTTGTGTACATCCTGTTGGAAGTGCGGGTAAAACAGGCTAGTCAAGACTTCATCGATAAATACAACAAGTACAACACGGTCTGTAAAGGAATGGGATATCAAACTAGGAACTGTTCAGGGAAAGATAAAGGTATTTTTTTTTACTCTTTTCTAAAATACTTTAAATTTATTAATTTAAAAAAACTACAATATATACATAATGAATGGGAATTCGAATATAAATCACTTGGCTTCATTTCGCATTCAATTTATTTCAGTGTTTAGACTTTCGGTCTGACCCAACAATATTTAGTTTAAAATTGTGTGCGTCACTTGGTTTGCTGACTTTGTATCCGACCATTAAATCTCTCTAATGGATATAAGTCGAATACAGTTCAGAATTGTATGAGGCATTTATCGTACTTAAGAGTCAAAATCAGCAAGCATCGAGCATTGAATGGAAAGTCAAAATTTTATTTTTTCAAAAGCTTTTGGTATATAAAAGATTTTGTCCTATCTAATGCTAAAACACAATTAAATTTTTTTTAACGTATGAAGGGACTAGTATCTAAGGAAATTCATTTCCTTAGCAACGGGTTCATAAATCCTTATGAAAATCAATGACTTTTAGACATTTTTCTATGAATATGTTTTCTGAACGTGATAAGATAAGGTATTTTGGTTACTTTACTTGTTAAAAGATGGAATTACTTTATTCTCCAAAATAGGAAAAACAAAATTTCTGTGGTGATATTGTTGCCATGACAATGGGAAAAGGACATGGCGTCAATGCTTATTAATTTTGAAAAAAATACATATGTTTTTAAGGAATAACTGTCTTATTTTTCGAATTCATGAAGTGATCAATGGATTGGCTTGTGTGATAATTTGCATAAACGCCGAAGGCGTTTATGCATAAAATTATCACACAAGCCAATCCATTGATCATCTTCATGAATTCGAAAAATAAGACAGTTATTCCTTATATTTACATGCTTTGATTCCGCCAATCCACGGGCTCCAAGCCTGCTTCTCTCTAGGTGTTGTCCCGCCCTGCACGTGGTTGTTTTTGGAACCGCGCCAAAACATTCATGAGGAAATGTATTACATTTACAATTGGTAATTTTATCTCGGACAAAGACATTGGAAATGTAAATATATCACTATATACACAAAATCTACAACCACTGCTAGAAAAATGAATGGTGTGATCTTGTTAGGGGTTATCTATATGTCATATCTATACAATAAAATTTGCAGGCAACTTTAGTAGAAAAAAGTTACAAATGGTTAAAATGTGTGACATTCTGGCATTTATAAGCTTTTTTGAAGGGGTGGGGGTAATTTGAATACGTGTACAGTGTCCATTATATTGGTCATATTGGTTCTGATCAAAGCATACTCATAATTTTACTATTGTTGATAAATAAATGCACATTCAATTTCAAAAGGAATTTTATATTCCTTACAAGCGAAACATGGAAAAGGGGGGGGGGGGATAGGAATCACCTTGTTCACCCATCCATATGTATGTAAAATTTTGACTTGTCCATAACATTTCAATGAAGTGCCACTGAAAGTTCATACTTGATATTAAGATTTCTTGTGATCTAGAGATGTGTCAAAAACTTGACCCAAGGTCATTTGAACAAGTTCAAGGTCATTGGTTGAAGAATAGTGCAATCTTTGCCCATTCTGTAACATTCTAATGAAAAGACTTGAAATTTCATCTCGGGGATTATTTTTGAGCTGTAGGTTTGTCATGACCTTGACCAAAGTTCATTTGGACATGTTTGACCTTGACTCAAGAACATAGCTTTTTCAAGGTCACTGCAGTAAAAGTGTACTATATGAGTTTGGCACATTTACATATTTAACTTCGAATGAAGAGAAATTGGAAGTTTGTGCTCAACACAACGGCTTTACTACCAATGATTTCAGTATATGTCATAGTCATTTTTGGTATGTATATCTGCACTAGCAAAATTTTAAAAAGGTTTTAAATTAATATTTAGACCTTTTTTTGTAATTAAAAACATTTGATGCAATAGCAGGAGGGTGGGTATCATTTTATGAACTTGCTCACAATAATTCTAGTTTATGAAAGAGAGTCACTATGACAGTTCACATAATTTTAAAGTAAAACCATATCAATCAGGCATGTAGCATCAGGTTTGGGTTGGGTAGGGGGGATGACATTCCCCACCCAACTTTTTTCTTAACATAACCTGATGTTTAACCCCCCCCAAATTTAGAGAATTTCCCCACTTTTTTTCTTGCATTTTTTTTTATGCCTACCCCACACCATGCACTATCAAAAACGATACCATGTCTGTCAAGAACGAATGACTGGAACCTTTGGCATTGAACTGATGATATATTCTCCTGTTGTCCTAATTAAGAAATAATATTGCAAGACAGCTAAGACCTCAGTAGTTACTGGTGCCTAAAATAAAAATCTGGAAGGGCTAAAATGTATATGAATGTCTAAACTTGAACTGACCCTAAAAGATATTCATTAATAACCCTAATGGGCAATCTTTTGAATGGCATATATCGGAATTTTTGTTGTACTTATATTTAAAACATTTTGAAAACAATGTAGAAATCAGAAGAGAATGACGAATATGAATATTTTTTATATAATACCAAGAGATACAAAACATAAATTTAAGGAACGTGTCGTCTGACTTTAAACAAGTTCATCATCATCATTTTTATTTCACTCACACTAACATCAGCAGTACATGAGGTACAATATATAAATTAGCCCTCTTTCTTTTTTCTCACAAAAACATTTGTCAGTTTTGAAATTAGTTGATTGATCATTTAATATTGACCTTGTTTTAATTATGATACTTCAAAATGCAGAATTTAAAGATATGTTTTAGATTCTTCTACGGTCTAATTATTAATCTGCATACTAAAAATTGATAGTTATTAGATTTACATCAATAAAAAAATGCTAACAGACAAACAAAGAATGTTACTTTTGGATTGAACATTTTTATTTGATCCACTTCCATGTATACACTGTACAATTTATGGATCTATTTTCTGGATCCCTGAGTCTCCGGTAACACTATCCACTAACTTCCAGCATCAATGGTCTGTACTGTAATAATAATGTCTTCTCATAATCTGAAAAAGTAATAAAATTAAAATGTAATACATGTAATATTATACAGCTTTGCCTTCATATACTTAGAATCATTTCTAGTTGAGCTTGAGCAATGATGATAAATGCAAAGCATGTTTATTGGAATCAATTAAATTCCAAGAGATCTCAATGATTTATCATTTTATTTTAAAAAGTTAATGTTTTTACTAAATGTCTTATTTACATGTTTTTCCTGTCTAATTCTATATCAGCACATCCAATTCTGTTTCTGCTTCTTTCCGAGTTTGGCTTCAAAGTGCCGAATTTCATTCTAAAAACAGAAGTATACAACACAAAGTTGAGACCGTATTGATTTTAGATATTCTTTAAATTTTAATACTTGCAATAAAAAGGTCAATTGGTTCTAGGTTTTGTCAAAACTCTAAATTATGTTTTTCATTTCTTTCCAATAACCCCCCCCCCCCAAAAAAAAAAATGGAGTATACATATTCATTTCATAAATTAAAGTGTTTTAAATCTAATGATGCTTATTATTTGAACCTAGTTGACTTAAATTAGTTCAGTGGTACCGGAGAAAATGTAAGCTGAATATGAATTTTCTTTTATAAGTAAACACTGGATGACATCAGCAAAAAGTAAACTTTTTAAAATTAATTATTTTACTGTGGTATATATACAATTTAGTTACCACTAGTCCACTACATAATACACTTGTCTGTATCACAATACTTCCAAGGTAATCCCCTTTCCTAAACTAAAATATATTAAGTACAGCGTTAACTCCCTCCCCCTTTTTCCTTTTTTTTTACGAACGCCATACAAAGGTCATTCCATTTTACAAATATTTCACAATAGTGTTGGTTTTCATAAATTCATAATTTTTCATGTAAAAAGCAGGTATTATCTTAAATGGATATCTACTATTATATACAAAATTTTTATTTACCCGACCATCAATCAAGTTATAATCATTATAGCTGGTGAGTGATTTTGGTTACATACTTACCGTGAATACAACAAATTAAAATTAAACTAAATTCAAATTAAACTTTATGTTATGTTATGTAACTGATCATGACCATCTTTTTCACGTTAGGCCCGCAGAAACAATCTAAGTTAGGGAATTTCATTTCATTTTATCATATAGATTAATATCGGCAATATTGTGGAGGGGGGGCATGTCCCCCCCCCCCTCCTCCAGTCCAGGTTCCTCAGGCCAAGCATAATCTTTTCTTTTTAGTTATAAAATACTAAAGTAATGCGAACATATATAATCAATCAGAATTAAATTGAAATGTGCAAAAACACTTGCCAGTGTTACATATTTTACTGCATGGTTAATTTATGCTATACATTCTTCAGTAACTGTTGTATTGGAAAATTGTAAAAATTTCAATCACTCACCGTAATTAAGACTCATGAAAACACCAAAACTGAGGCTCAGACTGCTTCAAGTTTGTAATTTTCTGCTAGTCTTCTGTACATTGTTATTGAAAACAATGTAAACAAACTACCGTTTACTCCTCCAATGTTAGAGAGCTCTACCAAAGGGAGGTAATTTGAAGCAAAAGTGACAGAAAATTATGGATTTAAATCTGTTATCATATATAAATGCTTTAGTTGCCTGCAGATTTTTTTCTTGATTCTTCTAGAATAAATACTGTTTAATAAATATTTTATGTTGATAGGCTTTGATGTGGTTGTAGATTTCTTATAGGGTACTTCAAATTTGCTGTTTTTTAAAGCAAAATAAATCTCCAAAAACTAGTTTTATTTATCAAAAGGTGAAGAGAATTTCAATAATCAACAGTTGTTAAAATAGAGCATATTTATATAAATAAAATAATAATTTAAGAAGCTTTTTTAATGACTAATAATAAAAAAGTGTTTGTTTAACCATAAATTCAAGTGTCATGATAAAGTACAAAACACGCCATTTGAAAGGCGTGTGGTTTCCATAGCAACAATGCGAAAAATTATTTTTTGCTTGCTTTTTTCTATCAAACCCTTTGTTCTGAAAATTTATGTATGAGTTTTAACCAAATCTGTTTCTATGCCACTTTCCACATTTTTTAACTAAATGCTCGATGCTTGCTGATTTTGACTCTTAAAGCATTGCAATTTGGTTAACATAAGAAATGTTAACAAGAAATTAAAATGTACATAACTCTCGAAGCAATTCTTTTCAGAATGAATTTATTCTTAAATAGAAACCACTTCCGTATTGTATTTAATCAACTTAACATTAGGGTATTCATACAGTCTAGTGAATGATATTTTTTGGAATGAAAAGGGAAAAGCAGACAGGTACTATTATTAAAAAAACGGAAATAAAGGTTATAGTGAAAGTATATAATTTATATTTACAGACAGCAAGAAGAAATTCATGAAGGATTGCATGTGTTCTGGAATATTTTTTTGTTTGTTTTTGTAAGAGAAATTGTATTAATCTATGATTGAAATGACACCTTTACCTGCCAACTCTCTTCATAAAACCCTGAATAAGAAAGTTTCTGAAAGTTTTACACTAAAAAATCACTTAAAGTCTAACAAGTTTATTCCAAAAAGAATTGTGTTTTATTTTATCCCGTAATCTCATTTAGTGTATTTTTTAAATTGGGTCTTTTTATTTCACAGTTCTGTATCATCAGTGAATAATATTCTGTTTCGAAATTCGTAGTGTTCACATGATAATAACAAAGTATTTTTTGCTAAATTATCATAATAATTTTTCTTTTGTTCAGTCAAAGTCCAAAAATGTAAGGAAATCAGTACTGAGACAGTTTGATATTAAACTTAAGGAGGGATTCTTCTCCCATTTCTTGTATTTAAAAAAATTGAATATTTTGTAGATTCAAGAAGACAATATTGATAAATTGTTGTTCATGTATCAGTTATATCAAATTTAACTGTTTTACATATGAGAAGCAAGGTCAAGTCAAGGTTATTATCTTTTTACTGTACATTAAGAATTTCAATAAAAAATAATCTTGTCAATCATGCTTTGCCTACTTTCTATTTTTTTTTAAAGTTCTTCTTTTTGCATAAAAGATATTACCCTATCTTAGTGTCTATCAAATAATAATACCAAATTAATATAAATGCATGTAAGTTAAAAAGAATGTATATTGGCTATTTCGATTTTTTCTATGATTCTTAAATTTTTTGAATATATTAGTTATTTTTATTTTCCTTGAATAATAATTTTTTTCTTATTTTTCATAAAGATAAAAATTTATACAAAAGTTTTGACATTGAATAAGAGTGAAAACACCTTTACAGATTTTCGGCTCAAATCTAATTTGTACTTATAACTAGATTGGAAACCTTTAAGAACTAACATAATTGTAGTTTGTTTGGAAAATCATATTTAATCTTTATTTTTAAAATCTTTTATTCATCAACAACTTTCATTCCCTTATTTAGTTATTTATCAAATATAGATTTAAAAATTTCATTGTTCTGTAATGAGAAACTGTTATATTTCAAACTCAGATTAACATTTCTATTGAAAAATGTTCAAAATGTTTACATCTAAATACATAAGACATATAAGCAAATATATTTTGATTATTTCATCTAGTCAGAAACCAGACAAGTATCCCTCATTCATGCATACAGTTCACTAAAATCGGACTGGAACAGGTGAAAAATAAGACAGCAAGAACAAAAGAATAACAACACAGCAATGTCATAAGTATAACTATGAACCGTCAACAAATAATGAAGGTCATTAAGTGACAATTATTTGCTTTTCGAAATAGTTTTAAAACATACATGGTATCTTAAGCAATTTAACTCATTAACTCGAACCCACTTATGGACAATACACTTGCTGCAAATGCAACCGTTTTGGCAATCAGCGAGAATCGATATCGTTACTAATTGGCCATAATGTTAAAATTCAAAATTGGCCATAATGTTAAAATCTTCAGAATTATGTATGTCAGTGTATTATTAGTTCCAGGGTTTTTATACAAACATTTAAAATTTTAGCATTAAAATTTGTTTATTCTCTTTTAAAATTCAATTCTTTTTTTGCAATAAGCGGGGCAATTATTTAAAACAAATCGCCCAATATTATTATTTTCAAATTCTTTCAACTATATATGAAAAATCGAAAAAAATAAATATGATAAATATCCTATAACTGATCAATTAACAGTCAAGACTGTCTAGAAATTTTCTGATTCAAAGCCTGCTGGATTGTATTAAATACAAAGAGAACGAGCAGTATCCAAGCTCAAAAGTCCATTCAAGTACCGGTAGTACAAATTAAGAAAAGAGCAAACGTTTCTTATTAAAACATTTAAATATATAAGATTCCATTGAGGAACAAGCATCATTTTAATCTGATCATTTCTGCCATGAACTCCCTATCAGTTAAGTGCGTAATGAACTTCTAACAATTGATATGAACACGTCAGTTAGGTTTAACTTATTGATAGAATGAACTGTTGCAAAACGTCATTGTATCGCCCATAGAATTTGCGAAATAATGCTTTAACGAGACCATTCTTGTTTTATCACAGTGTGTGTCCTTTGTTGTCTTGTGTTAGAACGTACGTAGAGTATGTTTTTGCGTATCGAATCAGCTGTAGACAAACTCCATACAGAGGTGAAAAGATTATGTAGTGATACACAAGTAAAGGAAATTGAAGATATGAAAAACGAAGTCACATATTTCTTTTCTATCTTATTGTTTTAGTATTTGAAATACAGTTTAGTGATTGAATTTATCAATTGTTTAATAGATAACATCGCTTTTCATGCACGATTATTGAGAGCACAGGGAAACCTTGGTAACTACGCTGTTGTTGTTTTTGGGAAAGTAACACAGAACTCTGGAAATGCTTATAATGCCAACACCGGTAAATTCATAGCACCTGAAGATGGACTCTACTTTTTCCTCTGGACGATTCTGACAAGGGACGGAAAAATCTTTAACACTCAAATTGTCCTCAACGGTAACATTTTTGGTTACAATAATGCAGACGGCGTGTCAGGCAATTCAAACTTGGCCTCTGGATCTTCATCAGCCGTTATAAAAATGAAAAAGAAAGATGAAGTCTGGATAAGAACACATGGTAAAGACGGGAAATATGCTTATGCTGAATGGTCATCATTCACTGGATTTAAACTGTAACAGAATACTGTATCAGATAGATACGTCAATAGTCAAAATATATGTGGTTAATGATTCAAAATAAATAATGAAAAGGGTTAATGAAAAGGAACACGTCTTGCTAATTTTATGACTTATTGCTTTATTATTATTTAGACTGTTATTGAATCCTATATGGATTGAAGAGTTATCTATCCTTGCTGAGGATCGAAATAACTTAAAATGAAGTCGATTTTCAGTGTTTGTCTAATGTTAGATTTCCAACTCACACAGATATATGTAAAATCCACATATGAATGGGAATAGAATATATATATATATATATATATATATATATATATATATATATATATATATATATATATATATATATATAGATATATATATATAAAGCACTAAAAATGACCAACGACACGAACAATAAAAATTGTCAAATTTTCGGACGCCCTGTCCCTTCCTCAGGACAAAGAAAAAAGTTAAAAAGTCATAAGAACAAAGGAAAAATAGAAACAAAAACAACTAGCACTACTACTAAGCTACTAAACACTAGATATTTACATACTTAATAATTAAGTATGTAAATATCTAGTGTTTAGTAGCTTAGTAGTAGTGCTAGTTGTTTTTGTTTCTATTTTTCCTTTGTTCTTATGACTTTTTAACTTTTTTCTTTGTCCTGAGGAAGGGACAGGGCGTCCCGAAAATTTGACAATTTTTATTGTTCGTGTCGTTGGTCATTTTTAGTGCTTTATATAAATTTCCATCCGTGACCTTGTATCTACTTGATAGATCCGACATTTAGGATATACAGTGTTGTTGGTTTTTTAGTGCTTTATATATATATATATATATATATATATATATATAATAAAAAAAATCACAACACCGAAATATTTGCTGACAAGGTTATCGCCATAGAGTTTACGAAACTTTATATATATATATATATATTGATAATTGATCAAACGTTGTTGATAATCTTCTTGCCGAGTTATTGCAAGAGTATTCTTTTCGTTCTTAAAGTTTTAGATGAAACATATAGAGATACCGAAGAATCTTCCTGATAAAAAATCAGAGGTGGGATCAGGTGCCATGTAGGAATTGGCATCCCCTGCTGACCGTTAACACTCGCTGTGTGCCCCTTTGCAAAATTGGGAAATAACGGATAAATCCGTCGTAAATTCAGTGAATATATTATGTACTAACAATTAGTATAAAAAAAGTCAGCCAGCATTCGACTCAATGATAAATTGTTTTTGCTGACAAGGTTATCGCCATAGAATTTACGAAACTTTAAACAAGACTGCTCATATTCTTGTTTCATGAACTTGTTTGTCAATAATTAACTTGTTTTAGAAATTGTTTATATCTAGATCATGCTCTTTGGTATCGAATCATCTGACAGAAATAAAATCTGTATGCAGGTGATGAAGGTGTATTAATGCGCAAGTAAGGGAATTTGACGATTGAAAAGTTAGTCATCAAGTTTATAATAGAGCTTAAATGGTAAGATTACTAGTAACGTCTTTTTCAAGTAAAATATCCAGATATGAAACAGATATGGCAGACTCTGTAGTAGCTTTTATCTCAAGCTCACCGGGATATATCGTTTCGACTTAAAATTGGAAATAACCATTGTTGACAATACGCCGGCAATATATATCAAAATGTCGAGTTAAAGGCCACACCAAGTGTTTTCTTCTTTTCACTAATTTGATTTTGGACAAATTCTGCTTCACATGAATACAAAAATATGCATGTCTGCTGATGGACTTATACGAGAAGCGCTGACTTTTACAGTTGACGAATTACTTTTACACTGGGACAGTGTACGGAAGCTCTTTTACGATATAAATATTTCGCTCAACATTTAATTTAAGGACAATAACGGGCTATTTCAAATCACATTTAAGTTGTCCTTGAAGAAAAAGACAACCATCATACCCTCAACTCCCAGCCTTCACATGTTAGTGCCCCTAACAGCATCACTATGACCACTAGAAAGGCTTTCTTATCTATTATCAATTCTGTACCTCCGTATATGATACAGGTTTAAATGTCCAAGTAAACAGTCAACTGTCAAAGTCAGTGCTTCTCGTAAAAGTCCAATAACAGGGCGCCATTGGTAATGTACCCATTAGAATTCCAATAGAATGTTTGAAGACCTGGTCTCCAAAAACCACCATTTTATGTTCACTTGGAAATCTCATGTATAACATGTTTCTTACAATGTATTTTTAAAAGAAATCATAATTCCCCCAATTGTTCATGAAGTATTATGTTTAGTTTTGTAATCTTTGTTGATATTGTCTTTCAAAAGCATTGATTTTATGTATTATCTAGGAAAAGGCCAATTTCAAAAAAAATATCACAACAGAATTTTCTGGGTGGGGGCAATATCAAGGAAAAATTTTATAAAGAAGAAAAGTCAATATAAATTTGATTGTTTAAATGACCTTTGGGACGAAAGCATAAATTAGCTATGGTTTCTGTAGCATATAATTATATATTGAAAGGAAAAAGAAACTCAGCTTAAATTTTTGAGGTGAATTAAATTTGTTTTTATTTTTATTTTTTTAGTATTCTTATCTAACTTTTAATATCATTTTTAAAGAAAATGTATCCAAAATGTCATTTGATTTTCTCTTCTAATTAATGAGTGAAAATCGAAAACAATCATTATCTTCAACGTTTCCCCCGTACATCTGTCACGGACTCGATTCTCCTTTGCATGTAATTCATCAAAGTAACTCTGGCTATATTTGGCGTGGGTAACCACGCCAAAAATTAAGTCAGACAAAAACCGCATGCACCAGTGAGAGGAACACAACCTAAAGTTGACTGGCTCAAAAACCCTTAGTGCCCACTCGGTTTCTTTCAGTTTTGGGATGAATGTAATGCTTATAACAGTCTACTTCACAGGAATGGAGCAATGGTAATGTGTAATGATAATTGACTGTACCCAATTACAAATTTCAATGTAATTGAAAGTAATGTAAAATGGCCTAATTTTCAATTACAATTAATTATAATTTAATTAACTTTCCAAAAAGGCATGTAATTCACAATTACTTTTCAATTCGCTCAATTACACTGATTTTGAATAAATGAAAAATAGCCCCCTCCCCTTCCATCTTATAGATATTATTTTAGAAAATTTAACTGATCTTTTGGACCAAATATTTTAAGAGTAAAATTTCTTGTAGAGGAATTTTAACATAGTCATATTTCCTTTTTTGAGAAAATTGCTGTTTAATAATGCCCCTTTTCATTTTTTTTTATTTATACAGCAGATTAATCTTTGTAAATCTACAAATAAAATTCATATTTTGATTTTTTAATTAACCATTTGAAAATAAAAAGTCCAGTGGCTTCTTAACATTTGTTTGCCATATCTTCAGCTTGTGTTAGAAGTTATTAACAGGTGTTAATTAGTGCCCTGTGGTCGTGTATTCATTCCTAAATAAACATTTTTCACAGATTTTGACTTCGTCTGTTGGTATTTTTTTTAAACACACATTGACTATAAATTGTAGTTTGGCACAGAATAAGGCGAATACCCACATTTTGAGATAAACCATGAGTAAACTTTCTACTTGTCAGTATCTACATGCATGCATTCCTCTCACAAATACCCTAGTGAAAAGAATCTTAAGCGTAGTAGGAAAAATTTCAAATCGGATAGATATTAGGTTAGGGAACACAGTATATTTGAAAATTGTATGAAGATTTTGATAATGTCATTGAAAAAAATAAAATAATCTGTACAGTTATAAATATAAAGGAATGTACAAGACTATCTACGTATACTTTTATACATGTATTCTTGAATGTAAATTGTAATTTAATTAATTACATTTGCAAAGTAATTGTAATTTAATTAATTACATTTCAAAGTCTATGCAATGGTAATGGTAGTTTAATTGAAGGTTTTGGGAAAGTAATTGTAATTTGATTAATTATTTACCTACAGCTATGTAATTGACCATATCCCTGCTACTTCATTAACAGCGGCTAATGGTAGTAAGGTGGCGTTTACACAGGTGGCAATACGAATAACCTGATGTACCTTGACTCTGTTTAGCGTTAACGTCCTCGTCATGGTAGGAAACTATTCCAGGCTCTCTCTGACAACGGGTAGCATGTTCTACTGGGGAAAATTTACAAGACACTGTTTAATAACCCGTAATGTTGCCCTTTTCCTTACATAAGCAATTCGAAAACCAGACCCCATGGAACGTCCGTAAACTGTACCAAGATTGCAAAAAAAATTCATATCGTCAGTAAATATTGAAAAACAATGTGTATGGCACGCCAAATTCACAAAAATGAGCAAGACATAGTTATACAGACGATAAACTAGGTTTATCGGTTGTAAACTATAGTTTACGGACTGTAAACTATAGTTAACAACGTTAATCTATGTTTCACAATCGTAAACTATACTTAACACCAAAAACAATCATTTGCGATTGCAAAACATAGATTATCTGATAAATACAGTTTCATGACTGTAAATTATGGTTTACAACTCTTAACTATAGTTAACGATCGTAAATTATAGTTTACAGACGTGAATCTATGTTTATCAACAAAATCTATTGTTAAAGTTTTATTATAGACAGATAGCACGATTTGTAAACTATAGTTTACAGTCGATAAACCAAGTTTACCAATTGTGAAACTATGTTTCGCACGCCAAATTCACAAAAATAAGCTAATCATAGTTTCACAGTCGATAAACTAGGTTTATCGGTTGTAAACTATAGTTTACTTACTGTAATTTATAGTTAGCAACGTTAATCTATATTTTACATTTAAACCATAGTTAACGCGATAATCTATGTTTCACAACCATAAATTATACTTAACACCAAAAACAATCATTTGCGATTGCAAAACATAGATCATCTGATAAATACAGTTTCACGATTTGTAAACTATGGTTTACAACTCTTAACTATAGTTAACGATTATAAATTATAGTTTACAGATGTGAATCTATGTTTATCAACAAAATCTAT